GTTTATTTGACGTTTGCGCAAACGGACTCTCTGTCCCGAGCAGACAGGGAGCCCCAAGCAGCGGCTACAAGCCCTTTTTAAAGGCAAAAACCACAAGATTAATGCATAACACAAAGCATCCCATAATTGGTCCATTTAAAGGTCACCATATACACCAACAATCACTTTGCCACTCGGGAAATTTTGTAACACTCTTTGTAAGATGACTGGCCCATGGTTGGTTTAAGGGGGGTTTACATGGTTACAGGCCCATGATTGGTTGACACTTGGCTCAGCTTGTGGTCTTGCCAGGTGGTCGTTGTCAAGGTTTGTCCCAGGGATTGCTTAATTAATCTGGAACTGAAGAACACGTACTATCTATAACCGCTGTCCTTGTCCTGGGTGGGCTGATATCCGGACATCTGGGCCGGCCAATATCCTTGAGTCACTGCCCAATTTTATTTCCCAGGGAAAAGGGGGTCTGAATGCAAGCATATTTACAGAAGCAAAATCAGCAGTTAGCAAGTTAGTAATGGTAATGGTAAAGTGAGGTTTTTTAATTTTTAATCCCCCTCCCTCATTTTTCTCCTACTTTCCTCCCCCTCTAATGAGTTTTAAAAGTCAAGTTTAGAGGAACTATTTTTACAAAAGAAACCCTATTCTCACTCTTGTTCCACTTAACCAGTCATCTTTTCAAAGCACATGACATAAAAACAGGAAGAATTGAAGTATGCTTGAATAAAGCAAACATGTCACGTTCTTTGTTTAGCTAGCTGGGGACCTGAATTAATGCCACACTGCCTTGCGAGAATGCAAGGCTAGGTTACCTGCAGGCAGCTGCTTCATGGGATGATCTGTCATCATATCCCACCTTCTCCCCCAGTGCGGCATCTTTTCTCAGCCTCCTTTAGCATTTTTCCCATGATCCCTCGCCCCCTCGCGCACTGTCTGTTTTCACCTGGTCAGAAGAGGATTTCCTACACTCAGTGCCTTTTGGGAAAGTCTTTCCAAGTCCATTACCATTCAGAAGCAAAATGAATTTGTTAATGAATGAATTCCCTTACCCACATCAGTCATCAAATTGTTTAAAGTGTTATTTTTAATTAGGTATGTTGTCCCATCGTGGGTATAAAATGGATTTACCAGGATGGAGAAGAAACACATTACCTAAGTGACTACAGAACCTTAAAATACTGCATGTTCTATAATAGATATAGCAGATGGCTTTCTAATAATAACCAACCCTCTCTCTCCTTACCTTTTCATAATAAGAAACAGCGAATAAACAACCTTCAAATTCACTTCTCACCAGTAAAGGGGGACAAAAAATGAACCAAGGAGAGGGAGCAATCAATGTGCTTTCTGTGGACCAACTGAGACTTGATGAGATTACAGTGACATAACAATATACACACTTTTCACCTGCCACAATTGGCTATTCGGAGGGCTGTGGGAAAGGAGAGGTTGTACAAATTGTGCAAATAACAATGTGACACATCTTAACTTACTACTTAAGTTGTAAATGTGTGGAGGTAGATTTAAGCTTTCCAGGCAGTTTTGAGCTTGCTGTGAGGTGAGCTGTCATTTTGCCTCTCTGTTTGGTATAATGTGTGTGAGTGTGACTTTTATCTCTCTCTCTTTTTTTCAGATTTATGGATTGGTTAGGTTCCAGTGGTTTAAATAATGAGTCTTAGGGCTGAGAAGGTGGCTCAGTAGTAGAGTGCTTGCCCAGCATGCATGAAGCCCTGGGTTCAATTCCCCAGCACCACATAAGCAGAAAAACTCAGAGGTGGTCCTGTGGCTCACGTGGTAGAACACCACTCTTGAGCAAAAGAACCTCAGGGACAGTATCCAGGCCCTGAGTTCAAGCCCCAGGACTGACAAAAAAATCAAATAAATAATAATGAATATTGATTATCATACAGTATCTCTGGCTCAGGAATCAGAATACGACTGGACTTGGAATATGGCTGGATGCCTCCAGCCCTGGATCTCTGACAGAGCCATCTGGACTTCATGAAAGTTAATTTTAGAAGGAAAAGCAAGGGCCAGGAGATTAATTAGGGCACTTAAAAAAAAAACTACACCATAGAGAGGAAAAGTCAATGATATTTCTAAAGTAGCATCATTATCTCATTTATAAGACTGAAAAGAATACTAAGAATATTTTAAATACATTCTCAGCCACAGCGGATTCTGAGTAAATAACACTCCTGGGAAGACTTTTCTGAAGTGAACCGTCTCCAACACCACTGTCTGCTTGTCTTTGAATGCTACCTGTGCTACCCGCTGAATGCTCCCCGCCCCCACCCACCCCCCTCCACCAGGACCCTGGTTTGCAGGCTGAAGACAAAGTAGCCCAGGCGACTCTCCTAGCTGCTTCTGTCCTAATGCTGGTCTTAGCTTTAGCTTCTTGAGATCCTGGTGCTCTCTGCCTCAGCACCCCTACCCTCCTCCCCCTGCAGCCTCTGATTGCACCCTTCCTAACCTCCCCTCATCCCTGCCTTCCTCCTGGCCTCCCCACTCCCCATTTCACCTAGTAAACTTAATCCTTAATCCTTTCTGGATCTTACCTCTTCCTCAGAGATAGCTCATTCTGGTTCTTTACTAAGGTCCTTTTTGGCTGTGCACTTCTTCAGGACAGTCACCCTGGTGGATCTCCTGACTGCGTGATTACATTGTGCGATTAGGATCCGACTTCCCCACACTTCCTAAGGGAGGGGCTGACTGTGTGTGAGGTGGTGCAACCTGACATCACCCCAAACTCTCCAGGTGAGTTTACGGTCTCCACACTCACCTGTTACCGTGCACCGATCCCACTTCTGGATTGTTAGGAGGTTAGCTATCATGGGTACCTAGAATGAAGAGTTTTAGAAACATAGTCCTCTAGCAGGATAGCCGAAATCTCCCACAGTGAAACTCCTAATTTTCACCATCGGAGTCTGTGGGAAATCTTGGTGGGTGGAACAGCCCTCCCCCGGTGAAGTTCGGTGAATGTTTGCAGTGTTAGGAGGTGAGAGCTTTAGGGGGTGACCGGGTCATGGGCACGTCTCTTCTGCGAATGCAATAAGGTTCTGATGTAGGAGGGTTCTTACAGCGCTCGGCCTCTTTGTCCCTCTGTCCTCTCTGCCATGTAAGGACAGGGACCTCAGGGTGCCATCTTGGACTGAGAGACAGGCCCTTACCAGACACCAAACCCAGTGGCATCTTGATCAGGAACTGTCGAGTTCCACACCTGGAGGAAGGAAATAGATGTTTCTATTCTTTCTAGGTTACCCAGCCTTGGGCACATTGTGATAGCTGCACACATTCCTCCTCTGCCGCACGTTTCTCTCTAGGCCTCTCCCTATTCTCCCTGGTTCCCCGGTCTTCAGTCAGCATGGGAAGAAAGGAAGACCACAGAAGGAGCTATCTCTAAAAGCTCACACAGCAGCAGCTTATTTAGTTAGTCTTTTAGTAATTTACTTGGTCTTGTGACGCGGGGTCTCACTATGTAGCTCAGGCTAGCCTTGAACTCACTGTGTGACCCAAACTGCCCCTCCTGCCCCTTCCTCTTCCCTCCCCGCCAAGCTCTCCAGTGCTGGCGTAAAAGGGAGCCCCCATAGCTGGCTCCAGCCAATTCCCTTGGCTTCTCAGAAAGACAGAAGAAGGCAAACTCTTCAGAGGAAAGTAAAAAATGCTTCCCTTTTGTATGACTTACTCCTCAGGATTTTCCTGGCCTGTGTTAAGGACCTGGTTGTGATGACTTCCTTTTTTTTTTTTTTTTTGGTTTTGTAGAAATGTTTCCTGTCCAAAGTTGTCTGTTGTTGTCAAAGCCAGGCTTAATGAAAGACCTCTTCGGGCTCACAACTGACCCCCTTGACACCCCTCCCCATGTCTACTTGGGAACTGTCTAAGAAATCATAGGAGCAATTCTTTCTGAAAAGTTTTGCTTGGCCTTATATCTGTGATTTTTTTTTTTTGCCAGTCCTGGGGCTTGAACTCTGGGCCTGGGCACTGTCCCTGAGCTTCCTTTGCTCAAGGCTAGCACTCTACCAGTTGAGCCACAGCACCACTTCTGGATCTTTCTGTGTAGGTGGTGATGAGGAATTAAACCCAGAGCTTCATGCATGCTAGGTGAGCACTCTACCACTGAGCCAACCTCCCAGCCCCAACTGTGATCCTTTCTGAAGATGAAGGGAATGTGTGTACATGGTTTTCAGAAGTTCTGTACCTGCTCTCCCCCCCCCCCAAAGTCAAGGGACTACCTGAAGGTATGCTTTGGCTTGTCATTGGCTTGGGGAAAGTCTCCAACCCCACCCCACATTCAGTGCATCCCTAGAAGGATGCACGAGACTCAACCCATTTTATTTACCACTAAGATTTCTATCCACCCATATGCAAGAAGACGCATATGGGTAAAACCTGGAGAGGCATACATGTGACTCTCCCAGGGGGGGAGAGACAACCAGATTCCCTGCATTCCTTCCCCTGCTAACAGATGTTCAGTACTGCACACACAGCCCCCGCCAACAGTGGTCCCAATACGATTTTTCCATTTTTATGACACTCATACGTAGAAACCCAACTTCCTGCTTTTCAAGCACCTAATCTTTTCCTGAACTTTCGTATCTGGTACTCGACCATGTGTTGCTGGTCTCCCACAGGGTAGTGGATTACATGCAGTTTTCATTTACAATACTTTATCACGTGCCATGTGTGTATGGGTTGTTCCTATGCAACCTATGTGGCACCACATCGGTGTAGCGCTTTTGCTCAAGGAAGCCCATTGGAGACTCAGCCCCTGAGATGTCAACTGATGCTGGAGACGCAGTCGGTCATTCTTTGCTTAGTAATCAGTAAAGCTTTAAAGCTACAGCTGGAGCGAGCTGTTGTTGTTTGGAACCGATGAATAGGAATAATCTCATCCATGCTCTCTCCCCATCTTTGACAGATATTTAACCAATTGAGAGTATGCAACATCAAGACCAGTCTGCATTTGGTTCCTTAATTTCCTTTGCTTCTCTTTTCTTCTTGAACAGACAAGACTCCCTGAAGCTGCAAGGCACTTGAGCATGGGTTTCAGGCAGGTGAAGGAATACCTGGCGTGGCTCTATTTCCAGTACCAGATCATCAGCTGCTGCGAGGTGATGGAGCCCTGGGAGCAGTCTATGTTCAATACCATCTTTCTCACCATCGTCGCCATGGTAGTGTACACTGCCTATGTCTTCATTCCCATCCACATTCGCCTCGCCTGGGAATTTTTCTCCAGAATCTTTGGCTGTCACAATGCGGTTGCCAGCTGATCTCACGTGCACCCTGCCAGGCGGCCTTGCCTGTTTGTGTTGCTCCGCCACGCGCTCCCTCCCCTCTGCATTCCCTGTGCACACTGAGGGCACACCTGCGGCTCCAGCCAGAGTCTCTCTAGTTTCTTTTGCACATGCTATCTTGTGCCTCGGGCCATGGAAAAAAATGTAATGACTTTACTTCACCTTCCATACCCTTTCAATTCAAATCTATGCCTTTAGATTGCTTTGCGAATCAGGATGGGTTCCATAGAAGAATCTTCTGGAAAATGGGTTCCTGAGAAACCTACCAGGTTCATATTTAAAGTGCTCCCTGATACCTGCTCTCTGCTCAAGGGTGTAGTACCAGGAACTGTTTCTTTGGAGGTGTCTGTCGAAAGTCTCCTACTCTTGTTTACAATATATAATATAAGGTATGAATAAATTATATGAATCCTCCCTTCCCCGGAATGTCTTATTTTTCTATTAAACGGCTAATCTCTAAAATTGCTGGAGGCAATACTTTTCTTTCAGGTCTGCTTCATGGGATATTTCTTTTTTTTTTTTTTTTTTTTGGGTCCGGTCATGGGGCTTGAACTCTGGGCCTGGGCACTGTCCCTCAGCTCTTCAGCTCAAGGCTAGCGCTTTACCACTGTGAGCCACAGCGTCACTTTCCGGCTTTTTTCATTTTTGCTTATGTGGTGCTGAGGAATCGAACCCAGGGCCTCAGGCATGCAAGGCAAGCGCTTCTACCACTGAGCCAACTTCCCAGCCCTCATGGGATATTTCAAATGCTTCTAAGGTCTGGTTTTATAAGAGTTTGACATCAACAATGTTGATTTTACATAAGTAAGTAATAGTATAGGGCATAATCATTTTAAGTGCCAGAAACATAATATAATCCAAGTATATGCAGATATTGTGACTTTTGATGTGACTTTGCCTTGAATGAGTCTGGGAGGAAATGAGAAATGGGTTGTAGGAAGAAAAGCTAGCAAATAGGCTGGAAGTAAAATTCTCCCAGCAGTAACTCAATAGCTCCAGTTAAGTGCTTTGATAGAAGAAAGAAGACTCACTAAACATCCTTCAAAGTGTTTATCTTAAAGGCAAATAGAGCTTGTTAATTATACCATTGAATCAGATACCAAAGACCCATCGTTGCCTCCTAGTAAATATTTCTGTTGACCTTTTGGGAGGTAAAATATAAACAGGTTTTGGACAGTCTTTGCACTTTTACATTAGGGAAATAAACTCCCAGGACAGCCATCAAAGAAGATGTTTGACACTCAAATTAATTGCCAATTAGCTTGTCTGAAATAAACTGTTTTGAAGGAAAAGAAATACCTGAGTATGTATTTGCTGATTTTTCCAAAATAAAATGAAGATGCATTGTATAAGGAAGAGATCCACTTTGGCTTTGCTTTGTTGTTTGCATTGCACCATCACAGTGGGTACACAAGGTGTACCCAACCTATGTCTTACTAAACCCAGTGGCAACCGATCTCAATGTGATAGAGCGAAAAGAACATCATCCAAGATGCTTCTCTATCCCGGACATGTTTCACATGTTGAAACAGGTCTGAAGGTCTCCCCCTGACAAGGAAGCAGTCTGGACCATAGAAAAGTTGCATTTCTTGCTCAAGGTCAAGTAGCTAACAGCAGTACAACGCTCACAAACACCCCAGGCCATGAGAATATTCACCACAGAGAAGCCCATGGAAGCCAACATAAAAGTTAATGGGATGGGATCACCAATATGTTAGAAAGTAGAATTTCACCAGTAGCACCGGTGGCTCACGCCTGCAATCCTAGCTACTCAGGAGGCTGAGATCTGAGGATTGCGGTTCAAAGCCAGCCAGGTTAGGAAAATCCGCAAGACTCTTCTGTCTAATGAACCATCTGCAAACCAGAAGTGGCGCTGTGGCTCAAAGTGGTAGAGCTCGTCTTGAGCAGAAAAGCTCAGGGACAGCGCCTAGACCCTGGGTTCAAGCCCCATGATTGACAGAAAAATAAAAATAAATTTTAAAAAAAGAGAGGTGGTCTGAGTAGAACGACACAGAAGATGCCGTTCAGGTCCTGCACTGATAGGTCAGCCACCCAAAGTGTCCAACAGGTAAAGTAGCCAAAGCCTCAGTTCTCAAAGCCTAACCTTCAGGACCCATGGCTTCCACCTTATCCCACAGCAACAAGCAGGAGAGGGAGGGAGAAGAAACACACCCTGTGTGTTCTGACTGCTTTGCTGGCACCCTACACCGGCAACCCAGGTGATGCTTCTGGAAGCAAGAGTGGGCTTGTGCTACCGTGTGATCATCTTGTGAAAGCTCACTGGGGATGGGCTGATGCATGACTGAAGTACTTCTTACACTTCCAGGCCTCCGACACGGACAGAGCGAATGGAACTTGTATGGACTGACTCACATACAAGGCAAGACTTAAAAGTGTCTGTGTAAACAAGCAGGGGAAGGTTCTGAGAGACAGTGGACCTCCCTTGTATTCTCTTGATGCACTTGATTTGCTCCAGCAAACTCTACACAGACTGATGGCGATGTAGATGGCTAAGTGGTTGTCTTTTTAGAGATCTGTGACTCTTTCGTTCCTCAAGGCTTAGACCACTGGTTCTTGCCTCTGGCTGTACATTGGAAGAATCATCTGGAAGCCTTATAAACTACCAATGATTGACACCCCCCCACACACCTAGGAAAAAATTAAACTGCAATGTTTGGGGGAGGAGGTTTTCTAACATGGTAGTTTATAAAGTTCCTGGATTATTCTAGTATCAGCCAAGACTGAGAAATCACTTTCTCAGGCTGACAGATGAAGCTGGGCCTTCCGCTTCCTGAGCCGGGTCCTCTGACCGCACCTAAGAGGAAGTCAGGCCTCACTGGCTCCCTAGATACAGTGTGTATGATAGCCACAGAGAGAGAGAGAGAGAGAGAGAGAGGAGAGAATGGATGGATGGATGGATGGATGGATGGATGGATAGATGATAGATAGATAGTTCACCACTGTTTTTTTGTTTGGTCCAGTTATGGGGCCTGAACTCTGGGCCTGGCCGCTGTCCCTCAGCTCTTCAGCTCAAGGCTAGCACTCTACCACTTGAGCCACAGCGCCACTTCCGGCTTTTTTTTTT